ATGTAAAGGGATGTGCAGCCCCCTTGAAGCTGGTGGGAACTAGGCTGGTTGTAAAAAGCCTCATGACAAACATCCCTGTGTACCAAGGCATCTGTCTTGAAGGAAGACGCGTTCTTCCTGGCATTTGGCACCCTGAAGGTCTTTGTTTCTTCCTGGCATTTGGCCCCTTGAAGGACTTGGTTTCTTCCTCTCTGTGACACTGTGGTCTTCCTTGCAGATAGTAGCTAACGGGGGGGCAGAAAGTAACTCGAGAAGTATTGCTTATTTAGGTACGGCTGTGTCATCATAGGGATATGCATACGTATGCCTTCTTTTTCTCTTCCCCTTCTTGTAGAACTGCATAAATATCAGGGTGTCCATTTTGCCTGCAGAGGAGGGTCTCCCACTAACCCTTGGTGGGTCCCCTCCAGTGCGCAGTCTCATAAACGCTGCAGGAAAGCCTGGATTATTTTGCATTTGAGTCCTGCGTTTTGATTCCACGTGTTTCCAAAAACATGCTTATTCGGAAAAGCAGCTTATAGAATCTTAACCAGTGCTTCTCAACCTTGGCAGCTTGAAGATGGGGGGACTTCAACTCCCAGAATTCCCCAGCCAGCCATGCTGGCTGGGGAATTCTGGGAGTTGAAGTCCCCCCATCTTCAAACTGTCAAGGTTGAGAAACACTGATCTTAACTATAACTGAATGTTCCTACTTTTAATTCTAGCACCTCTAGTTAAAAGGATCAGATAATGTACAGTGTTGCTTTACGCTTTGTAACAGTTGCTTTTGATGGTTGCAAAGCAAATTCTCCGCTTCCCGGTCACGTTTAAACTGGAAATGCTGAATTCAGTCAACGCTCTTCTTCCTGCCTCGCAGGTGTGCTGCAATGGAAGCGCAAAGGATTGTGGGTTTCCTGGTGCGTTCTAGGCCATGAATGCCAACTGAGCCGTAACATAATTAAACAAATCCATTTATTCTGCTTCATCTCTTGCTGGAGGTGTTTCAGCAGAGAGAGAAAGCAAAGCCATCAAGGTCAAATTCGGGAAGGTTAGTCTGGGTTAGCCCTGTTTTCAACCCCTTTCCCCCCTTAGGGAAAGGGAAAAAAAAAAGCAGATAAGCTCGTTGAAAGAAAGACTCCAGATCGGAGCGAATTAAAAAATAAAAAGTATATTCCACATTGGCAGTTTCAACTTTTTTAATTACAGGTGCCTCTGACTCTTTGGTTCAAGTTTTCAGGACAAGTTGGATGGCTTTAGAGCCACAGCTCGCCTGGATCAAACTTTCCCTGTTTTTGCAACAACAGGAAACGCTTTGTAAATACTGTGAGATTTGATTTGGTTAGGCCAAAGCTGAGTCAGGGGTTTAAATGTTGGTTTCCTTTGCAGCAATGCCCACCTAGGTCCCCACGAAGTGTTGATTAGTTTCTTGCATTTTTCTCGCCTTTTTCTGCTCCCACTCGAGCAAGTCTCAACCTATTCCTGAAGTGGGCGAGTCTGCCAGCTGTTTCTGGAGTGCCGAAGTTTGGGTTGATGGTATGATGAATCATCTTGTAAGACTTTGTCAGAGGCCTTCCCTGGAGGCATTCGTCATTGTTGTGGTGCAAAGGGAGAGGAAAAAGACTGGCCAGTCCTGTAGTTTGCAAATACGTACCTTTTTGCTCTAGTATGAAAATGATATCTTCTGTGCCGTCAGCAACTAAGCCCGTCTTTGCAAAGGTGTTTGCTTTAATTCCAGGTTTTGTTTGTTTTTTAAAAAGAAAGCTCTAACAACCTACAGGACTAGTAACTTTAAATTTCCACTGGGACAGAGATGGAGCTAATACTGCTATGCTGAGCTACAAGAAGTATCACTTCTTGAAGACCCCAAAGGACACCTACATTAGGACTGATTTTTTTAAAAAATCCTTGCTACGCATTTTTCCCCCCTCTCTTTCACCTTAATGTTGACCGCTGAAGATTCCTTGAAGTTCCCAAGATAGCAGGTAGATCGTAGCTGGAGGGGATGCAAAATAGAGCATTGTGATGCTCACCTGGCGTTTTCCTTTTGGGACTTCTGCCCACCCCATGAAAATTTACGCAGAGCTGCAAGGACATTTCCCTCGATGCCGTAAAGTTGGGCAAGTAACTTTTCATTGGCTGGGGTTTCATGTTTGATTCTTCTCCTTTGCACAGGGGGTGGCCAAGGACCATGATGATAGACAGGGGAAAGAGTGACATCACCAAAGGGGGCAATGATGAGATTTTCAGGTGTATTTCTCCCCATGGTCAAAAGTAAAATCTCCTTCCCGTTTGAGTTGACTCCGAATTACTTAGAGACGCATCCTTGTCATTCTCTTGGCAAGAGTAAGAAAGGTTTGCATTGTTTTCTTGTCTTCCTAGCTCAGCCTGGAGCCCTGGAATTTCCTGGTGTTTAGCCAGCCCAACCTGCCTTAACTTTCTAGCTCAGCCAAGGTGAGTGTTAACCAAGTTTAACGCCTTGTTTCTTCTTCCGCTTTCACACCCATGCGCGATGTTAAAGTAGATGGGAAGGTACACAGCTGCTTCTCAGTGGTTTAGTGCCAACATTTGATGGGACCATTTCGGAGGCTTCTGAGAGCTTCTCCAAAGGGGTTTGTGTAATATCTCATGTAATTTGCCCACCCTTGCCAATCTTCCACACAGCTTCATCAATCATCAGCCCCTCTTTCTGATCTGACTGCTCCAGAACGTTGAATCTGATCTGATTGCGTTCAAAGAAAAATGGATTTGGATTCAATGTTCCAAAGAACTTCCTGGGAGTATGATATTCTTGATAGATGTGATGGAGGACTTGGATGAGGAGGTTCGAGGTCATGGGGAGAAGCATCTCCTCAGCCCACAGCCTGAGCGTGCGAAAGCAAAGAGGATGAGACTGGCACCACCCTAAGGAAGTGTTTAGTTGCAGACTTTGGGAGTTAGAGTTAGTCTGGCGAGATTCTGTCTAGCAGGTGCAAGCTAATAAAGTAACTGAACAATTCCAGAACCGTCCCGTGGGGTTTCTTGGGCTGAACCTGACGATAGCAGATCAGGCAAATACCTCTGTATTTCTTAGAAGGTGTTAGGTTAGATGGCCTTTGGAGAGCCCTTCCAGTGTTAGGATTTTGTAGGAGTAAATGCAAATAAAATCCTTTTTTAACATGTACTTATTTATTCATCATATTGACATTGCCGCCCATCTCCCAAAATGTGACTCTCAAAAAATGGCACAGCTCGGCCTGTATTTTGAGGGGGACAGTTTGTGTTGATATTCTCCTTTTTTAAAAATCTTTCTGCTGTCTTCCTATTTATTCTTGTTCTAATGTCAATTGCCAAGGTCTCTCAACAATTAATAGTTAAATGTGTTCCGAGGCACCTGAGCGGAGGCACCCACAATTTTCCAGACTTTTCCCAGTAGCCAAGAGGCCTAGTGATTTTATTTAAAATAGCTTGTTCTTCCAGGCCATTCCAGATCTGCCATCTGGGGTCTTTCCCCGGCCAAACGATGGAGGGATCCCGTTCAGTGCTGCAGAAGCAGGAATCCTCTGAGCATCTACAGAGAATGCTTTCTTCTCCTCCTGAACATACGCTACAAGGGTTCTGGATGCACGCAAAAGCTTCTCAGCCAGATTAAGAACTGGCAGGAAAATGATCTGCCTTGGCTTCCATTCAACAGGGGTGGCCATACAGGCCAGAATACAGAGAAAGAGAGTATCCCTGTGCTACCCTTTTGGGCTTCTGACGCCTGGGGACTGGAATGCCAAGGGTACAGCAGGTGGCATTCAACAAGTATTGAGAGAAACAAGAGCCAGCACGTTCCACCCTTGGCTTGAAAGACCGCTGGATCTGGGCTGTCCTAGTTCTGCTTCTTAAAAATTATAAATGCCTCAGCCTGGACCCAACTTCTTGTTTTTTGCATTTCAAAGCTGTGCCCTTATTTCTCTCTCCTCGGGTTTTCCCAGCCATTGTCCGTTCTTTGTAATCATGAGGGCCAGAAACTTGAAAGAAAGGAAGGAAATTCATTTCTTTGCCCAGTACTGCAAGACTGTTTTTTTTTCCCTTCCTCCATTCCTGTGGCATCTGCTTATTTCTTCACGGTCAGGACAATGGAGAAAGAGAGAAACTCCTTGGAAGGGCTTAAATCCAGCAAGCAAAATCCATTAGGCCTCTGATTTACTTGTGCAAGACTATCTTGCTGAATTTCAAGGTTTCTGACTTCCAGGGAAGTTCCAGGATCTTGAACGGAGGGCGTTCCTTATCCAAAACAGATGCTCCCTTCACTAATCTCTTCCAGACAAGCAGGCGCATTTAATACAGCAGCAGTGGCCATTCCGACACCCTAGTCCAATAGTTTTATCTTCACGCTGATGGATTATTTTCATCTGGTGGGTGGCTTTGCTGCACACTCAGCTAAGCAATTCTCTATCTGGTAATCCACATTTTTTTAATCCAATATTTCTGATTCCACTATCAGATTTCTTTCATGTCTGTCATTCCTTCATTAACATCCTTTAAACATAGTCTATTCCTAGAAGCAGACATTGTTCCTGATATTGTTGATAATGTGGCTACTAATTTCTGGCCCCATTCTTTGAAGATATCCTTTAATATTTCAAATGATATAGTATATTGTATTATTATTATTATTATTATTATTTATTTTATTTTTTTTGTCTGGAATTTGTAGTCCTCTCTAGTGTCCAATTTAAATCATAAGGTCTCTAATCTCCGTTACGACTTACAGCAGGCAAAATAATTCTGGTTCCCACGAAAAGCTGTTTATTTTATACAGCGAGTTCCAAAATCTTCTCGTAAAAGTTTCAATATTCCACATTTGGCTGGACCCTTAATTCATTTATAACTTGCTTGATTCAAAATCTTACTTAGCTTTTGGCCATTTATTTCAAATTCTTTTAAGTTCTTAAACTTATAGTTAATTTTTCTTTTGTTCAGACATGAAGACACTCACTCACCAGGCGGCTTTTCAAACATGTCTTTCCAAAGATCTCTGACAGCTTTAAGATAGTTGAAGAGGCAATTTCAAAAAGTGATTAGAAGTGAGCTTAGCAAACTTAGTGTCCTTTAAAACACTGATAATCGATCCCTTTGTCTCCTGGCATTTGGGGGACCACGAGGAGCAGCCATCCGGAGCATGTGTAGGTGATCTTCCACCTACTCCTTATCTGGAGAGGTTCTGAAGAACTGGTCTACTCACCGGTTCTTTGGTCTTTGCCATAGTCATTGTCTCCGCTCTCTACGGAGACATGTTCAGCTCACCATGCCTCCACTGGATTCTCCAAATTCTGAAGAGCACTAACTTTGGCATGCTCCAGTGCTCTCCCATGATGGTTTTGGAGGGCCGATATAAAAAAGTTCCTTAGAAGATAAGGCCGTGCCTCTGTGGACAAGGAGCTATTGAAACTATTGCTCATGCCCTGTTATACTGTACCCTCTATAACAGTGTTTCTCAACCTTGGCAGCTTTAAGATGTGTGGACTCAACTCCCAGAATTCCCCAGCCAGGCTGGCTGGGGAATTCTGGGAGTTGAAGTCCACACATCTTAAAATTGCCAAGGTTGAGAAACACTGCTCTATAAGGATCCTAGGAGCCACCTCATAACTCCTTCCCTGTAAAAACACCCAGGAAATACTGATTTTTGTTTATATACAGTTGTTATCAGATTAATACAGTTTAGTTCCTTGAACATAGCCACATCCTGTTACACTGCCTGTAAAACACCCTTGACTGTCCGCCGATGAACCCGCAATCAATCCTAACATTCTTATCCTGTTTTGGGTTTTTATTCTTATTTTTATGTTTTATTTTCAACTCTGGTCTGTGACCATAATAAAGTCTATCATTTTTTTGTGCCTTATTTGTCTGGGACCTAATAAAACTGTCTTTGTTTTGGATACTCTGTGCAACTGCTGCTTTCCTTTTCTTTCCAGTAACCACGAGGACTAGAGGCTTGACATTATGTTTATAGATACCATACTGTACTGAACAATAGACAGTTTTCCTAGCTAGCTAGGAATAATAGCTAGTGTCTGGTTTAAGCCCTCTCCTCTCATATCTGTTTCAGGGAATTTGCTAACTTTGGTAATTGACCAACATGTCAGAAGAGGTCATCGTCCCGGTTTACTGCACCGGAGTGTCGGCTCAAGTCCAGAAGCAGCGGGCAAAAGATCTGGGTCTGGGGAAACATGAGAATGCAGTCAAGTATTTGGGTCAAGATTTTGAGAGGCTTCGGAACGAATGCATGCAGAGTGGGGCTCTCTTCAGGGACGAAACCTTCCCCGCCACAGCCTCTTCGCTGGGTTTCAAAGAACTGGGGCCAAATTCCTCCAAGACGTATGGCGTCAAGTGGAAACGGCCAACGGTGAGTCACAAGGGGCAAAACAAGACCTGCCGAAGGAGGATTTTCAGGGCAGACAGAAATTCATCGGGAGAATCTGAGTCTTTTTCTTCCTAATCAAATTCCTCATCCTCGATAACACTGTAAAGTGGGTGGTCAGTCCTGGTTTTTGCCTGTTTAGGGCTGCATTAACTCATACAGTGGGGCAAAAAAGTATTTAGTCAGCCACCAATTGTGCCAGTTCTCCCACTTAAAAAGATGAGAGAGGC